GATAATTTCTACATAATAATCTAGAGAATTTGGGGTTGACACGTCATTTGTCATAATTAGAAAGCACTCTGAATCTGACGTTGACCACTCTAATGCATAATGGCCAGTAGATAGCAAAAAAAGTAAAATAGTAAAAAAGCCTATTGAAATGTGAAGGAAAGTGGATACCGCAAAAGGAATTTACACAGACGTGCATGTTTTAACACATTCCAAAAACATTTTTCTTGTTGTAGTCTGTCGCTTCGACAATAAACTGGATTGGCAACCGTGCAGTCTGTGTGTTTTGATGTTTATGCCAACTGATAGACAACTATATATTGCATGTACCTGGCATTTACTGCTTGGCGTTCTACAGTCGAGTGAGAAAATACGACGATTTGAACAGTGCAAACCTTTCCATCACATTTGGAATTTTATTATTTACTTTCATCCAGATATTAGTTACACTTGGGATTCTGACCAATTTTATCATTTATTAATAATATATAAACGTCATAAACGAAGTAGTTCTCATCAACAAATTGCCAGTTTAATTTTTAAAATCTAGCGTATGCGATTTCACGGTTTCCAATTTATTATGAATTGTTCTACAAATATCTACCAAGAGCGTGCGTGTCATTAAAAAAATACACTTCTAGCGTACACATCCGGCAGGGCATCTAGTGTCGAAGAAGATAAGAAAATCTGATGCAAAATCATTAGAGGTTCAAGCAAACTTGACTTGCTCCCCTATTATTATCATTCTGATTTACTTCTTCCGCCGTTTTTCAGCAGCTTGTCCCAGAGAGCCTCGCAACCGATGCTAATAGAAGCTGACCTTTAATTGACCATTCTTTGGATATTGTGATGGGTCCATTATTTTGACAGCTACGTGACAAGCCATAAATAATTTGTCAAACTTACATGTGCTTACACAAGGTCTACACCTCTAAGTTTTTATAGGCTTACAGTGGGCGCAAGATCTTTATATACACCTAACTCCCGCACCTGGTAGTAACATTGTAACACTTTCCTAACATTGTAACACTTTCCTAGACGATCCAAGTGGCCGTTAAAGACGAAATACGATTAGTTACTCGCCTACTCGCCTAACAGTTCATCAAAAAACGGACCAGAGTTTCAATTGGAAAACAATCGGAAAGAGATTATTCGCCTCTCCTTAGGACTCATCGGAGTCGGTATTTTCTCTTTTATTTCTCCTTGGCCTGGCAGCTATTCTTCGTCACTGTCATTGGAGAGAGACTTTATTGGAGAGTCTGCAAAAGAAAAATTACATAATTTGCGCCATAGTATCCAATTCAGTATATTCGACGTTGGCCTCTCAAACTAAAACTATATGACATTAAAATAGCTATTAAGAAAATGTAATAGGGTGTAATCAATAAATGAATGAATATACTAATGAATAGTATTATGGAAAAACCTTTTAGCAGTTCATATACAACTTCACAACTATCAGCTACGTTCTGCACTTCGGAAAATGTCGCTGAAATTCTGTTCTGTCTCTGTGTGGTCTGTCTTTGGTTGGCAAACTATTTACATTGCTATTGTATGCTTTGCGCAGTATACTGATATCACTAAGTAGTTCAAATTTACCCGCCTTGCATCGTGCACTGTATTTCTCCGGGAAAGCAGCTTGTATTCTGGGTACGAAAACGGACATGGCACGCTCTGAAAGATCTCTGTTAGATTCTGAATGAACCCGACTTGGTACTGTTAAACAACCCTTCGTGAGTATAACCTGTATATGGGGGTACATCGAAAACCTGCGGTGTTGAAGTTCAGACTGATAATGTTATGGAGATCCCTTGACCATTTTCGTCAGCTAGCCTTGTTAAGTCACTTCCGATAAAACGTTCAAATTCACTACATGTGAATCATGCATTTAGAATATTGTTGCAAAACACCAGATCTGAAGGATATTTGAAACTCGTATACGGTGACAGTGTGGAGGTAAAAAGTAAAAGTAGAAGATTGCAGGAAAAGACTGCATGGGTATATATAAACCCATTAGACGCAATGAAATATCAACGAACTACCAATTAATGGTATTTACATTTATCACTTATTGTTAAATATTCAATCCCATTTTGATGTTATATTATAATTCCACAAAGTGTCACACAGCAATGCAATAGTTCAACTACGCCGTCCCTTATGGCCACACATCAATGTCATTTCGCATTCGGTGTTTGATATTGATTTATCAAGTTCTCATGAAAGTGTTTGGAGATGTTGCAAACCCCTCGCGGATCGGTAATTGCCTACCAGGTGCGGGATTTCTGAACACCCTTTTAATGGGTACAAAGTTTCCGTTTGTTTCTTTTCACAAACAGTCATTTCCGGACATGACATATACACACATTCGGTGATCAGAACACATCACCAAGGAAACGGTTGTAAGTATATCTCCACCATATATATACTTAGTATGCTTTATACAATACAACCATTATGATATACACTTAGGTCTTTACTGTAACCAAGTCAACATTCACACCGAGTTGGAATGTAATTTGTCAGCAGTACACAATTGCGTTCATGCCACAGCTATGAATTCCTTGGTTACTTAGTCGTGACAACATTCTGACATCTGGCACGGTACTGTAAGTAAAAACGGAATACATATTTTACACAATGAGAAAGAAAGAAAGAAAGAAGACATGCAAGGTGACATTTACAATGACTAGGCGTAAAATATAATTCCTTGTTGCATATTACATAATGCAATGATTAAATATGTGTAATAATCTCTACATTGCCTGACACATCGAATTGGCTGCACTGCGTTCGATTGACATATTGCACTACTGTAGTTGATTACTTGTCATCAACAAATGGCTTTCAATACGCTTCTTCCCACCGGTATTTCATACCTTATGACGTTGAATGGATTTGAAATATGATGTAGGATTAACATTATTGAAATGTTTTGATATAATTTGACACATTTAGTCGCTATACAAGGCACGTCATTGGGAATACTATGTCAGTCTCCAATGGTGAAAATGATGCTAGTATAAGTTGATGGAATGTAATGTACATTCAATTACTCATTGCAATCTAGTGTCAATTATTTCAATCTGCTAACGTGTTATATCCCTTCATCTTACCCTAGAGTAGTGAAATCATTCTATATATATATATATGTAGCAGAAACTGTTACTGCTTAAAAATGTAATAGCTCCCACTTAAAGCAAACTACAACTTCAACTTCTTATGAACCAACATATTACAGCATCACATACAGTGAACACGACTTTGTTTCATATAATACAATAACCCCGACATTCGCATTAATGATATTCAAATTAAAATCACTTTTCACGACAACGAGCTGGGATAGAAGTGACATCATTATACTACATTGCCCTCAACACTACATAATTCCATAAATCAAGCAGTATCATTCCCTATTCTCAAACTCCCATGTACATCAAGAGAACTTAACACAATGCCACCGACGTCTATTAAACAATAATTAAATCATTCAATCACAAAAATACTTAACACCATATTTACTCGCAAATTAATTACACTGACTATTATCTCGAAGCCATCGATAATAGCCCTAATAAATGGCTATTATACAATCTATCTACCAGTCACTGGGTTATGTATATATATCTATATTTAGGTCAGACCCAAAGTCACTGTTTAGTGGTGGAAATGAACAAGTTGGCGTTAGTGTTTTATCAAGGCAAAATTTAATGTCAATAAATAGTAAGGACAAGCAAGGACTAATATGAATCTTACGCGTTGTATGGTCATATTTCGTGTCGTTAATTCTTAAACTAAACTAATATTGTTCTCATACAATTTTGTTTTCTTCTTATGCATTTCTTTGTCATTGGAGATGGACTTCAACCAGGAAAAAGTTCAAAGTGACTTTATGCAGTATATTAGCTCTCATTACTATGACATAAATAAGTTGTGCGATATATGTGCAAAAATGTATCCCGAAATTATCACCAAGGAAGAAATAAAGTCAATAAAAGTGAGTATATTCAGTGTTTATTTAGGAATAGCATTTAATTTATACTATTCATTAGTATAATATCTCAATTTTTACATATTTTAACATGTTTCATGGTTTTGAACAGCCCATAGTCTGACAATACAAATATAAAAACAATTACTTTTAAGCTGATATATTATTTATACGTGTAATATGTGCAATATTTATTGTAACAGGGAAGACAAATACACCAACGTCCATGGTATATACTCAATCTGTTTAAGAAAACTTCGAATTGGTGTACGAAAATAGCAAATGTATTAAAAGAAATCAATGAAACGAATTCAGTGACCTCAGGTGAGTATGAAACACACTCTGTGATTTGTTGTTGTTCCAAAACATCGCTGCAATATTATACGCATATCCATCATGTATCAATTCCAATTATAATTATGTTTTTAGTTTATATACAACCAGCCACAGTTATGGATTCAGAGTTTTCAATATTAGGTCAATGATAGGTTTTTGGAACCTTCTTAAATTTGATTGAAATATTATCGCACAAGGAATAAACGTTTTATTTTGTATATGGGAGATGTTTACCGCTTAAATCAGAAACACTAATTTAATACATTGAAGATTAATGTATGGTAAAGTCCATTTCCTAAAATTTATGAATATTATGAAGTTATTACAAGACTACCTCAAAGTATGCACGAAGACAGTACAGCTGGAGCATCGACCGACGCGCATATACATCTTTTCCTTTCAAGGATACATCATGGGAATGCCGAAATCCAAAAAGTTTAGAACAGAATCAGCGAACTTCTTTGTGTGGGGTCCGGTAAAATGCCGATGACAGCCATGTTTGTTTTTATTATTAGAGGACGCTTACGCGCGTAAGCATTCCATACTTGGAATTTGTATTCCCTTATATGATAGGATGAAAATACCCCGTAAAATTATGGCACGCTGTAACTTGGCGTTACTGTGACAGATGTATAATAATACTTTATAAGGTGAAATTATGTTAATGTTACAGGTACTCTTATAAAAAAGGTGTTTGGGAAAGATGCAGAAAGAGTCCAAGGTGAGAATAGAGACTGAATTTCTTATTGATTGGATTTGAGATGTGACACTGGCATAATGTTGATGTTTCTACATAAAACATACAGTTAAAATTTAATTCAAATAAAAAATCATTTCATATCACCTGTTCATGAGTTTCACACTAGGTGAAATATTTATTATTTATTGACATAATTCTTATTTTGTTTATATCAGGTCCATGTCACATTACAGTTGAATGGATTATAGCCTTGTCCAAAAACAGCCGTTATATCTGTTCGCATCTTTTCAAAATATACGAATAAGTGATAACGAATGTCGCTGATGTGAGATATTGTTTGAATGTTGTTTATATTTCACAGATTCTGCTGTTCATTTTAGGACTAAAAAGACCAAAAGCAAAGTAAATATTAAAGGTAAGATAAGGCTAAAGTTGATTACAATGTTACATTGGATAATTCACATTGTGAAATTGCGTTCACTGGTGTCTAGGTACTGCTGTACGACGCAACTAATTAGAACGCGTTCAAGGCCAAGGCTATATGTTGGTGAGGTGAGGTGAGAGGTGAGAAGGTGAGAAGATCGGCATTGTGGTCAATGCAAATAGTGTCTTTATTTCATTGTTTACAGGTACTCAGAGAAATGGTGAAAGGTCAGAATGTGTGATGTTTACTGATGTAACGAAAAAACATTGTTTTTCATTTCGAATTTTTGCGTGTAATATTTGTATCTGTAAACAATGGGTTTGTTTGAATTCGACAATGGCTTTAACGGCGAATAAAGCTATATTAAACTACGAGGTTGATGTTTCATTCGAGAAATGATCACTGCACTGCAATGATCACTGAATAAAACACGCGGTCGGAGTGTTTGATTGATTTATTTTGATTATTTCTTCCCTGAAATGTATCACTACCGGCATTTATTTTGTTCTGCTGACTATGGTTTGGATGTAAACATTTGCAATGATACACTATGTGCAATTGTTTTCACTTCTTACAGGTATTACAGAACCATGCAAGCCATTGGAAGATACAGAGCGAGCTGAAGGTCTGAGTTTAGAATCCTTTGTTATATCTATTTGTAAATGTTAGTCAGTATTTAATTTGAAATGAAAGGTGTGATTATCTCGTATTTACAGGTACCCAGAAACATGCAGAAAAGGTTGCAGGCCAAAATACAATTTCTTATATTGTTTTGTTGATAAATGTGTGACAATATATTGTCATAGTGACGATCATAATGTACAATCCGAGGCCAGGATGACTGTGGATATTTCAATATTAGAGATGGAATGAAATTAACATGTAATCGTATTCATATATAGAATTGCAATTTAACTGATTGTATTTAAACTGCAATTAAATCTATGTATATGTATATATAGCATTGCAATTTAATTAAACTTCAATTAACTTATGAAAACACGCAAGTACTAGTACATCGTGTCTGCTTGATTAAGATATACTATTGCAACAATAGACATTATAAATTGTAATCAAATTGACAGGTACTGCTGTACCACGCGAATCAATGGAAAATAAAAAAACAGTTGAAGGTAATAATGTATATTTATTATGCTGTAGTGTGGTGCTTACACAGTGATATTTATAATTCAATTATTCTGTTGTACTACGATGTGTCTTTTTATACATATATGTTTATGTAAGTCATTGCAGTACAAATATTGCAAGGTCTGAGTTTAGATTTTTTGTTGTGGCGTGGTGCACGCTGTTTCTAAAATAGTGTTATACATAAAATAGTGTTATAAAAAAATGTACTTATTTCGTATTTACAGGTACTCAGAAACATGCAGAAAAGGTTGAAGGTTAGAAATACAATTTCTTTTGTTGTTTTGTTGATAAATGTGTGACAATATGTTGTCATAGTGACGATCATAATGTACAATCCGAGGCCAGGATGCCTGTGGATAATTCAATATTGGAGATATGTTAATGAGATGGAATTTAAATAACATTTAATCGTAATCATATATAGAATTGCAATTTAACTGATTTTAATTAAACTGAAATTAAATCACGCACGTGCGACAATACACGAAACAGATTGTGTTCAATTTTACAGACACTGCTGTACCACGCGAAGCATTGGAAAATAAAGAACTAGTTGAAGGTAATAATATATATTTATTATGCTGTAGCGTGGTGCTTACACAATGACATTTATAGTTGAATTATTCTGTTGTACTACGATGTGTATTTTTTGCATATATGTTTATGTAAGTCATTGCTGTACAAATACTGTGCATGCAGAAAACGATGAACGTAAAAATCACGATTTCCCGTGTTCTTTTGTTGAATAATTATGACAAATTACTGACATTACTATGATTGCAATGTACACAAATAATTCGGTCAGAATTAATTACTTGTATTTTTCTTCACAAAGGATATTATCACTTTTGTTTTACAGATACTGCTATACCAATACAGTCCCAGAAACACGCAGCAAATAGTAAGAAATTAGCCTTATTTTTATGTGACCATGCTTAAATTGTAATGTAGCAGACATAATTAAGTTTGTAATTAGTTTATGAATAATCTTGTTTCCCGACTGCACGTTAGCATCGCGTATACATCGACCACGTGTATATGCAGCACATAATAAATCAGCTGGTCTCAACGTGTCATTGATGTTGTTGAGAAGGTTAATTAAATCAGTGAAGTGGATAAACAACAGAACGTGTATGTAGCAGAAATGGTTAGAATTACAGCCAGTGTATATGTCTAGGTAACGCAATGGATGACGGGAATTGTTGTGTGATACGCCCTCGCAACACCTCTTTACCCCGTTGGGTATACATATTGTCTCCTATTGTAGTGCGGTTCACATATTCAGCCCACTTAGTCTGGAGATCACTACCAATATTCTGCAATATCAACTTTGTTTTATATATATTTAAGATTCAGGTATGTTTGAATACATAAAGAATGCATTCAAAGAACAGGCCCAGAATTTCGATGCAGTACACCAGAAGTTCGATGAAGTACAAAAGAATATTGATACAGTACGACAAGAAATAAAAGGTGATTTGAAATCCATTAAAGAATCATTTCACAAAGATGTGAGCAGACTGGAAACAATGTTGGAGCAGAATATGTTGTCTGTGGAGAAACAATTTGCTGATTTCAAGAAGGGTAAGATGCTTTCCAGAAATCATTCTCGAATAAAAATATATTTAATTTTAGCTTTATGGGTTCCATTCATGCATGAGTCGCAATATTGAAATCATCCAAAATTACTACATATAATTCAATAGGAAATCTGACAAATGTGTTTAAATTGCTATCACCATTAACCAATCGAATTCAACCTTCGTTCAATGCAGATTTCAATTTAGCATGTTCAATAGACATGTGTGTTTTTACAGTTTATCTTAATTAATTTTTGCCAGATACTTCACTGGGACAAGCCGAAATACAAGCTTGTGTTTCAGAAATGATGGAAAAATACGCACAACTGATAAAACAATTCGATAGTATAAAAGGAAGGATTGATGAACTTGAAAAGGATCAGGGTTAGTGAATATTTATACAAATCACGTAAATTTCAGAGCTTAATTGCAATTTGTTTATAAAGTGGTTCTATCGGATACGTTAGTCAATTTATACTAGAGATGTTTATTGCATACAATCAAACATACTATCACGTGCATGGGTGGAAACAATGATACTACCAATGGCATTGTGGTCGATACAGTAACTTCCACTAGGATACGTTAGTTATTCTAGTGTTTCTTTCAGCAGCTTCTGAAATTGATATAACCAAACAAATCGTTGCGCAGCTAAAAACCATAAATAAAAAACTAGAGAGTAAGGACGAACTATGCACGGAAATAGAAAAGCTGAGACAGAAAGTAGAAGAACTGCAGTTAGTAATTATGAATAACTGCAGTGAGTTGCACAAACGTCTGGATACATTGACATTAGATGAAAAAGATGAAGGTAGGCTTCATTTTATGACATAACCAAACCAATTAATTATTATATCTACCCACTAAGCGTAACAAACTTGTTTGTGAAGTTATAAATAGACTGTTTTTTTCCAATTTAATTTGCAGCACCTCAGAGGGATTCTAAACCAATTCAGGAATCAGACATAAACTTCAACACTTAAGTAATCACATGGAAAAGATGGACAGTATTATGGACAGAAAACAGTTCATAGACTTGAAATGAAGCGTCAAAAGTAAATGGACAACGATAAATGTATGATTGGAAGTGCCAAGCCCAGCTTTGGTACACCCCCATGTAATCCTATTTCTCTCCATTGTTTTTGTTTTGGCATTTTTTTTTTAGAAACCGTTGTATGTGATGATATCATTTTTTTTTATTGTTGGGAACCATTTTTAATTGCGATTGTTTGTAATGGAATGTGGATCAGACCTAAAGGCACTGGACATTATTAGACATTAGTGGCAGTGTGTTGGCGTTTCTGAGATTAGTGATTTCAACATATTAAGAAATCGCCAGGTCAAGGCTTTTTATTTCATACATGCAATCAGGTTAGACTAATTCGCAACTAATATTGCCTCACAATGTATTGATCATTGTGTGTGAACTGTGTGATATATAAGTAGTGTTCTTGTTCAATTGCAGTTTTTACCCGCTCGTTTGGTATTTTTAAAAGTCGGCTTTGCATTCTGTGTGTTGTACGCTTTATATTGATCTAAATATCCTGTTATATAAATAATTGTAGTCATTGCTTGATTGAGGCCTTCGTACTGAACGCGTTATATATTCTAATCAAAGAGGTCTTAGTTGTATAAAATAACTGTTGTATTGATAAATAAATTGTTGTTCCATCACACCCAAAGACTTAAGTATTGTAGTCAGAGTGTGGATGATATTATCACCTTTCTAATACTCCTGGTATATATCTGACATGATTCCTTTTTTTGTCAAATGATTGTTTTGCGCTGCTGTGTTTAATCTGTATTCATATATATATATAGCTGATTTAGATTTAGGTTCCTCGAAGTAGGGGTCAATCAAAGTTTATGATAACATGGTTTATCTATCATTGTTGATATGAACGAATACCAATTGATCGTGCCAACACAATGTGTCGAACAAAGTGATGAACTGAGCAGATGATGGAATATGTCTGCAATGAGAACAAGATGCAAATGACATAATATTTATGTTCGTTTATTTATAGATTACACAATATGCTGACATGAAGAAATGTCGAAATGGAAAGTGTCGTAGTTTTTGTTATGCAAAAGTGTTTTCTGTGTACAGAATGGAATGATAATCTGATAATAATACTGACATTATTGTCGAGGTCAGCACATGATAGCTTACAAAATCCAGTTTTTTGCCGTGAAATTGAGTTCATCAACAGGGAATCAAATGTTTTTAGATTTGTTATAATGTTAGCGCCAAATCCCCGAACCGGTTTGACTGATAGATGTAAGGGGTATTTTTATGATGCATACAAATAGATATTGCCAATAAGGTGAAAGCACTCTACAAGACTGCCAGATATAAAGAATTCTGACCAAATGTTGAAACTGACACAGTCCCGCAGAATGCACCCCTATAGATGTGCAAATGAAACTGGCACAAGCAAGGAACAAAATACAGATTGAAAAGCACTAAATTGACTTAAAATTGAACAGACTTATAAAAATGACAACACAAAGCATGGAGTGGGATTTGTTTGAAAACTTCAGTAATATCGTATTCACACATACATTATTATGCACTTACTCACTTAGTCTCTTGTATATCATCACAAATAGTAATGTATGATGAAGAAAATCTGTCAATCATTTGATTAAGCATGTTTCCCTAAAGATAAACCTAAAAGAAATATCCCAAAAGGAGGTGTATCAAAAAGACCAATAATATAACCCTCGATCAACTCTGCCGTGACAAGATCACTAACGATGTCAGGATTTATCTAGCTGACAAATTGTTTTGACATTCATACAAATTTGTTGTTAAAAATTGAAAGCCGTAAAACAAACTTCTCTAAGGCCATTACACAGTTCTGACTTAAAAGTGTTATCTTAAAAGTGTCTTTCCAAACTCTAAATGTTAATAGGTGCACTTACTGCAGTTGGTAGTCACTGGGCACCCATATTTTAGGATTTATTGTATTTAGAAACTGGATGATGTTTTCACACAAGGAGTCCACACGGATAAGAGGACGTGAAATCTTGGCACATTCCTTACCCTCATTGAAATTATTTTTAGATTTCCTTCTTATGTTATTGGCAGAAAACTGGGCATCCTGACCTCTTGGTTGTGCAGATTGTTTGTGAGAGCAAATATTAAACGAATGCAACGTACTACAACAAATGGAGAAAATTATTGAGGCGCTATTCTCGTCGTTCTTGATGTAATTGCTGGGATTTGTGAAAACGTGATGCATAGCACTATAAAAAAAGTTTAGCAATACAAGTAATCAAAAAAAAAGTTTGTCTCACATGTATACCAACTTTCACGAGGTCAAATCAATCACAGGAAGCGTACTATAAATGAGCAGTCAAATGTGGAGCAAGTGAAAGTATCACGTTTAAATAATGTATTTAAGCAATAACCCCCAACTTCGGCGGGGGGTGGGGGTGTGGGGGGTTATTGTTATTATATTATACCAGTAAATTGACAATTCGATAAAACTAGTTTACTCATCTACTATAAGATCATGATTATGGCCCTTGAACATGAATATTTATAAGAATAGTATGCACTTGTACACTGAATGCATACACAAATTACATACAAAACACAGTTCAAATTGAATAAAACAAATTTTTATTCCAAAACGTATCCACAGTGAATAGAGCAGCGTAAACACAACTATTAGCATAACAAAAGATAACCTTCCTGACCTTTTACTGACTGTGGCAACGCCATTTGAAAGTCGCGTACAGTTTGAATCATTAAAACAACGGATTTTCCACGTTTTCATTCCGGTTTTTGTACAATTTGGACTGTAATTGGCCGATTGAAAGTACAGTTTACTGTGAAATAAACCGGTTTTGTGACTCATCATACTACTTGTAACTGTGGATATTTGACGTTTAGCGGCACTTTGTTCGAACGAAGTTTGAAACCACGAATTCGGCCGAATTTTGTTAGCGGTTGGTCGAATGTTGCCTGAACGAATTGTTTGACTGTGAACATTTGGTATTTTTATTGCTGATTTACAGTAATAAAAGAAATGCGTTTCTCAACTTGTCACTTTATTTAGTCTCATGCCGTATTCACGATGATGGTAAATAGTAAATATCGGTAATTCCATTTATTTTATTATAACGCGTACGCCAACTGACTGTAATCGAGACGAACTTTCTGGGGTAGTCACAGTGTGGTGCACCGGCCAAACACAAGAACGGAGGTCACGAATCCGTTACGACCTTTTCTTCGTTGACTATTAAAGTTAATCCTTTTTGTATATAATTCCCACAGATTATTAATGGCAGTTCCCACACTAGTCGTGTTAGATTTTACGTGAAGCAATTGAGTTGAATGTAACTCAAATGTGATGTCTGAGCTGTAGGGCCTACAACGTCGATTAAGCCTGTGTCTGGTGCACAACCAGAATGTTTTGATTTTATTCCATGGAATAGGATCTATAACAAACTAATTATGATATTATATTATAATACAAAAACATACTGATCGGGAAATAATAAAACAGTACTCCGTTCAAGTAAATACATCCAAATATAATTCATCAAAACTCTGTAAACAATTAATGACATATTTGAATGGACACGAAATAAAATACATAATAACCAGAAAATATAGAATGTAGATGATTTCTATACAACTGCTGATGATTTCTATACACACTCTTTTGAGTGACACTGATAAAGGGAATACTGCTTTAGCGTAAGTTTAGACTTTTATTTAAACTCCATCACATACTAATGGAAACCTACAAAATTATGATATTCTTGGTACATCGCAATAAATATGTCCCGACAAATAGTTTGTAGTTCGTAACTAACCAAATATGGTGTCCTAAGGCTTCGTGACCTGCTAGTATCTTCAACGCTCTTAAAGTTCAAGTTCGATTTCAGTTTAACACATATTAATTTCTCGTGTAATGCCAACAAAGCTTATTAATACTAAAAGAGCAAATTACATGTTTTTTTGTTCTGTTCATAATAAAATACACCAATTTTTAACAAGTCGATGACACATTATACTTAATCATTACAATAAAAAGAATTCTTACCTGAAAATCTTATATGAGCTCTGTACTCACCCCTGATTGAATTACCTCTCCAAATTTGCCCCAGTTCTTTCCAAGCATATCATCTACTTTAGAAGTATGGGGAAACGTTTATTCCATTCACTAATTCCAATATAAATTTTACAAAAGAAATACTTCGTATCATTTAACACACACATAACACTCATCTCTCTAGATATATTGTTCATATATATTTCCGTAATAAACGATGAACTGAGCGAAAATGATACTTCGACATGTAATTTGGTAACTGAGCAGTTTTACACAGTAGCTAATGTGCTACACCAAGCACATGGGCTTCTTTCTTCTTTTATAAATAACTTGACTGAAACTGTCGGAATGAAAAGAAGCTATTTGTGTGTTTTTTAATTCACTGTTATAATGAGGTTAAAAACAGCACGCTCTGAAATGTGAGTTCTGTGGATTTTATGTATATATTGTTGTCAGGAATCAACGCCCTCATACATTCCCACACCGCTTCTGTATATGGTCTAAAATAGTTAGGCATAAACACTATGTATATGGCTGCGGTAGCTATGATAACATTGGAATGAACGACACGATTGTTGTTTTGCCGAATAAGCCCCTCCTCCCGCCCACGAGAATACAGCAACTAGGGTCATAGATTTATGCGCCCTCAATACGGTAATCCTTCACAACTAGTCTCCGACTAATTAATGCCATGCTTTCCATGTACGTGTTTACGATGAGATCTACACTTAGAATAATTTTGGGGTTAAGAATGACCCAATTTCCTTACAATAGTTCATCGTTTGGAGCTGGCGTTGCAGACGTTTATATAAGTCATTGACGCAGTTATACACAACGATTCACGCGTGTCATTGACATGCAACATTTGCGCTTTCAGGGGCTTGTCAACTGACGGCTAAGTGCGAAAAAGA